AAATATAATTTACAATTCAGGCATTTAGCAGACGCCTTATTCCAAAGCGACTTACAATGACCAATCACAGGGACATTCTCCCTGGAGTAACCGAGGGCTAAGTGCCTTGCTCAAGGGCACACTAGTAGTGGTGTTCCAGGCAGGATTTGAACTCGCAACCCTCCGATCATCAGCCCACCTCACTATCCATTAGACCACCAAAAAAATAAAAAATAAGAAAAAAAAATTATGATAATATCTTTTTTTTTATGAGACCCGTTTGTGGCGGACGATATTTAATGGTGGCGGCCCGCCACAAATAAATCAATGTATGGGAAACACTGCACTATTATTTTCCACTTCGAGAGAGTTCGTCTTTATCCCTTTTCTCATAATGACATATCCTGTTCTCCATATCTGTCGGTCAGATCCAGAGCTTTACTCCCACCTGTCCATGTTTGCACAGGATGTTCACACTGTGTGCCTCCAGCCATGAAGGAGTTCAGTAATATATCACAGTCCAGTTATCTGAAGGTCGTTCTCCTGACAGTGGTCTTGTGTGCTTCCTTTTTTGTGCATGGCATGTTGGTAACCCTCTGTGCTTATTTCTGTCTCCTCCTGCAGGGTCCACTCTCTGTCCTTGGTGTTGGAGGTTCACAAAAACAGCGTTACGATAACGAGTATTTTTACATTATTCAGTGGTTCCAAAACTATAGGTTTGGGGCCCAAGATGATTCTGCTGGGGCATTTAGTGCTCATGAGGTCATTAAGATGATTAAAACATAGGCAGTGGAGAGGTGGGGGTTTGTCTTAGCTGCAGTCTGTCTGCAGCTAAAGAACATCAATGCTGATGCAGCAAACTTTAAAAACATAAACGAGACCATGACTTCTTTACTCAAATGAATTGTATTTGTTGCGTAAACCTTAATGTTGACGTCTTGGGTTAAATTGATGTTTATCACATATTTATAAGAACTCAAACTTACTTTCGAAACTGTTTTTTTAGCTCTTAATTTTTAACACATTTTAGATTCAGATCAGACGTTTCCTGGCCCTGCTACATCACTGCTCGATGCTATCTGGGCTTAGATACAAAGCACGGTCAGAGTTATGACAGTTTTCCAAAGATACTAACAGATGAACATTAGTACTTCTATTTGGAGCCCCTTATCCTGACAATGATGGTAACAGCTGTTAGGACCACAGGAGACCGTTTTTGGAGTTTATTTCCTCGATAACAGCAAAATAAAACACAACAATTAGAAACTCCTCAAAGTTTAAGTTAGACTAAACACTAACTCGCTTGCCACCCAACAAAAACACTGCGATAACTTCATTGTAAATATATTATACTTCTGAATAATTTCCAGGTAAAAACCTTATATTTCTATTTGAACATGTTATCTGAGATCTCTTGTATATTGCTCGTAGGAAGTGTAGCACTGAACTGTTTAATGCCTTGCTTAACAAATGACCCCCCAGGGTGCACTGCAGCATCCTCAGACCAACCACTGAAGCAACAGAAAGATATTTCTCTCTGACCTTCGAGCAAGTTTCTTTGGCTACTAGAGTTCATACCAGCCTGTCTACAGGAGACTGACTGCAGCTGAAGGAAGTCTTTGTCGTTAACATATCTTTATAAACTATGTACACAGCTCAAATGTCGTCGGCTGTTCAAGACGTTTCTTGACTTATACGGTTACAGGACTGAAGATAGTTCTGCCTCCATCAACATGATGGTTAAGATTAGTCTTCAGTTTTATCTGCTTTGATTTACAGCATGGAGCACATCTGATATGATTGATTCTGATATGCCCTTCACCTCTCATAGCATCACTCTTTTCATTACCCTATGGACCCCTAATGTGTGTTCACACTGTTAGGGTGTTATGGAGAGATGTTGAGGTACTGTGTGACACCTGCTGCCATTTGTACACGTTCATGACCCTTGTAGTCAGTGGCCATCATCATGTCTTATGGTTGCATTGCATTCTGGTACCTGTCAGCTAACCTAACTCTCTTTATATGGATGTATTCAGTGCTCTAGTTTAGGTGCAGTCCAAGGCTGAATCAAAGAGATGTGTTGTTGTTTTGGGTACCTGGAGACAGGGCTCTGGCAGCTGAGGACTACATTTTGAAGACGTTATTATCTATTTAATGCAAAGCTATTGCATCTTTTTTAAATATTGTTTTGGCTGAGTGGGAAAGCATGGAAAAGTGCAACACAGAACATCTAGCACCTTCAAAAGGTCTGACTCATATCTACACACTCCACAATTAAAATATGATGCTAATGTGTTATTTATTGACACAGAAGAGAGGATTGACAATCGAACAGACCCACTAGCTCAGTGGTTCTCAAACTCTTTCTATCATTCCCCACTTTGAACAGGGGGGCCTTTTCAAGCCAACCTGTTCCTCATCGCTCCAATAAAAGTGTAGGCCAAGCTTAAAATGGTCAAATGTATCGTTCTATAACAGGGGTCTCCAACCCTTTTTAGGATGAGAGCTACTTTAAAAAATAAAACAAGTCGTGAGCTACTTTTACTCTTTTTTAGTTTTTTTGCAGTGTATATATTTAGCACATTTGAACATTATTATATGCTTACCTTTAACCTTTGTGTGCTGTTTGGGTCTGTGGGACCCGTTTTCAATGTTTACTAAAAGAAAATGTAAGCAATTTAATTATTTTAACCTGCTTTATTTGGGGGTGGACCTCACCTCCTCTAGGGGGGTCCGGGGGCATGCACCCCGGGAAGTGAAATGCCTCAATCTGGTGCACTTTGAGCAAAAAATGAATTGATGGATACAGCTCTCAACACACTGAAAGGGAGCTGTATACTTTTCAATAATCCAAACATCTTTAGAATATGATCAAAACCAATAACAAATCATTTAAACTTGTTTATTCTTATCTTATGTTACCTAGTTAGCATTCTTTCTTTTTATTTATGCATATTTTACTAATCACTCCCCTTTNCACCGCCGTTGCGAGTCTCCGGCTGTAACAGTCCACTAACGCCCGCGAGGACCCAGGTTCGATTCTGGCTTGAGGTCCAACATTTAAAAAAAAAAAAAAAGATAATAATTAA